GATTATTAAAGAAATCATACTTCATAGATTATTTTAAGGTGTAACGTTAAATCTAGATTTAAATTCAATGGATGATTGGTGAATTAGATTCACGATGACGATCAAATTTGGAATAAAACCTGATCAGAAAGTTTTATCTTGATGCAGATGAGCACCGAAATTCCCCAACGTGGGCCTGCCGGAACCCCGGGGCTCTAAAGGGTGACATGAAGGCAAACCGCAGTCAAACTACTTCACGACGATGAAAATCAAAGTGCAATTTCAAGAGAAATATTTTCCTAGCCTTTTCCCCACAAATCTGTTGAGAACAGTCTCAAAATGTAAAGAAATTACAGTAGATCACGAATTACAGCTTTTTCAAATTAATGACTAAATTCTCTTAATCTACTGATATTTCAATCAATTACTCACCCATATGCATTCTCCGTGAACTAAATCTTCTCACTTTGTGCGAGTATAGCGCGCGTCGTGCATTCCCACCTCGATATGAATATTTAAGAGAATCGAGACTTTCCCCGACCCTGCCTAATGAATATTCATGATAAAACAGGAATCCGGCCTCGCCGTGGTACGAAAAAATAAGACGCAGCCCGGGCGCGAATTTGCGATTCCCAAACCATTCAGCTATGGGAGACTTTATGAGCAACGTGATTGGTCGAGAGAAGAAATAAATATTACATCATTTACTGCACGCTCGGGCTCGCTCACAGCTGACACAGACACACAAACACTCACAATATTAGTCTGCAAGCACAGACTCTAATTTGACACTTTACGAAAGATATCATGTCTGAGGGAATTAGTCTATCTACATGAAATGGCCTTCTGTAGTCTCACGATTCAGACTCTGTATATGTGCCTGCAAACTACTCAGATGCCTTAGAATTCTGCTACTGAAGGTGTGTATCAGTAACGAGCAGAGATGGTATTCATACTCAATAGGGAGAGTATCCTGCAATGAAAGGAATTATACTCAGATCATTAATACAATTACATTTGCCAGTTTGCCATGCACTTTTAAGAAGAATTAGCCACCAAAAATGTGATATTCTGTAGTCTATCCTGTTTGAACAATACTCATGGCTAGATCTACATGTATAGTCGAGATGAATTAATTTAATTTTGGAAAATTTCTCTAGTTTTATCATTTTAATCTGTTTGAGGATTTCTGACCTGGAAATTTTGTAATGCCTAATCCTTTCATCAAACTCTGATTATTAGAACAACTGCTGGGGTTCTCTGCAACAGTGGCGGATCCAGGGGGTGGGGGGGGGGGGGGGGGGGGGGGGGGGCGAATTTTTTTTCCGTACTCGAGAGGGCAAATACCCCATGTGCGCATGCGCGTGGACTTGTGATTTCTCTGCTACTTCCCATACGAAATGTACATGTATTCGCATGTACTGTGCACGATTCGCGTTCTACGAGTAAACGATGGCATAGTAGTCTTCAAACACAGACTCTGATTTGCCAGTTTGACAAATCAATATGCGTATGTGTCGCGATGTGCTTATTCAAGTCTGTGTAGTTGTATGATTCAGACCCAGTAGTGCATATGGAAATACATTGCAACTTGTATAGAATGGTATAGTAGTCTGCAAGCACAGACGCTAATCTGACAGTTTGACAACATACTAGTAGTGTGCTGAGAAGTACTTTATTCAAGTCGCCAACTTGTATAGAATGGTATAGTAGTCTGCAAGCACAGACGCTAATCTGACAGTTTGACAACATACTAGTAGTGTGCTGAGAAGTACTTTATTCAAGTCTGCGTAGATGTATGATTCAGACCCTACTGGTGCGTGCGTTAGAAATGCATCTCAATGTGTAGAGTGTAGTATAGTAGTCTGCAAGGACATAATAATATATTGTGTATTGATGAGTAGTGATTTTATGCAAGTTTGTGTAGTTTAATGATTCCAGACCCCATGGTAGGCCTATGTATTGTGCCACTGCTCTCTCACACTCTTTCTCTCTCTCTCTCTCTCTCTCTCCATATCTCTCTCTCTTTCTCTCTCTCTCTCTCTCTCTAGCCCTCCCTCCAGTATGCTCGCACTCTCTGTATTACTTTTATTTATAATCATGGTCTGCTGAGAGCCAGAAGGATGTTAACTCTTAACACAACGAATGCCCTTCTGGCTCTGAACAAACCCACACACCATGAGGTCATTTATTGGCCTTCTCAAAACCGTCATTCTGTAATAATATTTCTAACTTTGGTCTAATAACTCCTTTGTCAGTATAATCCATGGTCAAATTAATAATAAAATCGTGATAGAACAAACACACATGATGAAATAAATGAAATAAATGTTGTCAAACTGTCCGATTAGCGTCTGTGCTTGCAGACTACTATACCATGCTATTCAATTTGGGATGCATTTCTGTAAGCACTAAAATGTCTGAATCATACAACTACTCAGACTTGAATACTAGTACTATTGCTACGCACGATATATGCGTAATTGTTTTGTCAAACTGGCAAATCAGAGTCTGTGTTTGAAGACTACTATGCCATCGTTTACTCGTAGAACGCGAATCGTGCACAGTACATGCGAATACATGTACATTTCGTATGGGAAGTAGCAGAGAAATCACAAGTCCACGCGCATGCGCACATGGGGTATTTGCCCTCTCGAGTACGGAAAAAAAATTCGCGGGCGGGGGGCCCGGGCACCCCCCCCCCCCCCCTTGAGAAAAAAAATCATGCAAAATCACGCGATTTTTACCTTTTTGGGGGGTTGGCCCCCCCCCCCCCCCCCCCTGGCGCTCAAGGGGGGGGGGGGGTGCAAATTTTAAAATTTTCGAGGACCAAAAAAAAAAATTGTGCTCACTATCTAGATCTAAAAAATAAAAAAAATAAAAAATCATCCAATCGATATCTATATTTCATTAGAACATACTTGTATCTAAAATGTTTCCCATAGCTGAGTGGTTTGGGAATCGCAAATTCGCAGCCCGGGCCCGCTGCACGCTCGCTAATTAATGAGCATATCGTGCGAGCGTTATCGTGCGATGGAAACAGCTCGATGAATAATATCCACAAACGAGAAGTTACGAGATCGTGCGAGAATACTGGAAGGGATGACGTAGACTCTATTTTCTCGCGCATGTTCAGTTTTTGAGCAGCCATGTTTGGGTAAGTCGATCTCCAGAAAATTTCCTTTCGAATAATATGAAATGTTGATATATTTCCGCGAAATTTACGGTTTTACAGCATCATGCAATGAAGCCTAATTTTGAGAAGTTTTCGTTCCTATTTTTGTAACTAAAATTTGTTTTCGTGAACCTGACCCGTTCGAAACTAGAAAAAGATCATTTGATGTCGATATGTGTTCAGCAATGTCTGAAATTGCCAAATCTGTTGTCCAATTTGAGGTTCCTCAACAGGAAATTAGTGAATTCTGCTTCCCAAATTCACATGAAAATCATGTTTTCACCGGAAATACGTACTCGAAGTTGGGTGAACTGGCGCGAAATGGTCTAAAAATAGTAAAACGCGCGAATGGGCGTAGTGCATACCGATCGTATAGTGTTGTCCCACATAACTTGTTAGATCTATAGATTTTCATGGAGTCTTTAGTGCAATTGTTGGCTCAAAGACCGAAACTATTTCATTTTCTGTTGAATTTCAGTTTCCTCATGTGTTCAGGCATCAAATGGGACTGGGATTCTTAGTAATAACGTTTTTAGATTGAATTCCAAATAGGATTTGATCTGGACTTCTATTAAAGGTAAAGACCAGTATTGGAAACGCCCCAATTTCAAAAAATGAAATGGAAGCTCTCATTACCAATCATGTGAAAGAATATGTTTTAACTAATACATGATGATAAAAAATTTGCCGGGAAACCGCCTACTAATTCACATATTTGGTAAATTTGTTTCTCTCATGGTCTGTGAGAGATATAGGGTAGTCCCATATACATCTTTCTGTGTAAAGTGCTTGTAACTTTACGAAGAATGGGCCAAATTTCTTATCATTTTGATGGTTCCAGAACCTTGCAGATGCTAGCTGCTAGATAATCAACCTTTTCTGATCGATTCCACAACGTTTCTTTCACAATGCAATCGCATGACCATAACTGGTCTTTACCTTTAAAAGTCAAGATGAGTCAATGCTATTGCGTATTGACCAGTAGCACTGCACTGCACTGCATAGGCAGGATTGGAATAGATCTACATGAATAGTCGATACACTCGTAACACACAGAGATGCACACAATCATGCCGATGCGGCTGATCGGAAGTTTGACAGTGGACTCACAATTTGAATTTTTAAATAATTCTTTCTAACATCGGAAAGTTGAACAAATTGTATTTTAATGCTATGTAGGTGTCATCAATCGTCACTAAAGTACCGATTTTTAGTAAAATCAGTTGAGTGTTGTACAGTGGTGTTTGAAATGTTGAGAATCAATAGACTAGCACAGCTTTTAATATACAGCCAGGATAGTAATGCACATATATGTATGGTCTAGACTCTAGTCAGTCTAGACTTACATGGCTGCATTAGCCATTACGACCTTGGCTGTGTATTAAAAACTGTTCTTTTGAATCTCAACATTTCAAACACCACTGTACAAAACTCAACTGATTTCACTTGAAATCGGTACTTTAGTGACAATTGATGACACCTAAATAGCAATAAAAAAAATAAAAAAATTCAACTCACCGATGTTAGAAAGAATGATTAAAAAATTCAAATCGCATGTCTACTGTCAAACTTGCCGGTCAGCCACATCGTATTCATTGTGTGCATTTGTGTATATTGACTTTTACACAGACACATATTTCCCTAAATAAAAGTTAATGATAATCTGATTTGTGAAATGGGATTCCATGTTTTGCCCAGGGGTAGAGAACTAGTTCTTGCTAGCTTTTTTATTTGTTGAGGAAATCACTCTTGAATGTTTGATTTATTTCTTGTGTTCATTCTGTGTTAATTGTTTTGTTTTTGTTTTTTGGTTCCAGGCGCAGAGATGTACACAGGCCCTCATAGAAGTTGTGACCCCTAGCCCTCCTCTTCCAATAGACCCCCCCCCCCCCTGATCTTGACCTCAAGGATGCATCCTAGAAACAAGGTAAGTTGTGATTTAATTTATTCTATTCACATGGGAATTTGTTTCCCTAAATAGCAGTCAGTGAAACTATAAAAAAAAATACTTTTACATGTATGTTCTCCCATAGAATACAGTAGTGATTTCTTACATTATAAGGAAATCTTGATGCATAACTGTTTAATGTCATGTAGATTACTTTGTATATTCAAACAACCTGCGTTGTTCATTCACTGTCTAATGTTGATAATTTTGTTCCAGGTGCGGAGCTGTACACAGTCCTTCCTACAACTTGTAGAAGATCCCGCACAGGCTTCACAACCAGTCATGTGACCCCTAGCCCTCTTCCAACTGATTGCCCCCTTGATCTTGACCTCAAGATGCAACCTGGAAACAAAGTAAGTTGTGATTTAATTTATTGCATTTACATGGAAATTTGTATCCCTAAAGAGCAGTCAGTGAAATTTCTGATTGGTGAAAAAAAGTTCATTTATGTTCTCCCATAGGATAATATAGTAATTGCTCTCATTTCCTCTTCTAATACATGATTAGGAAATCTTGATGCATAACTGTTTAATGTCATGTAGATTGCTTTGTATATTAAAACAACCTGCGTTGTTCATTCACTGTCTAATGTTGATAATTTTGTTCCAGGTGCGGAGCTGTACACAGTCCTTCCTACAACTTGTAAAAGATCTCCCATAGGCTTCACAACCAATCATGTGACCCCTAGCCCTCTTCCAACTGATCACCCCCTTGATCTTGACCTCAAGATGCAACCTGGAAACAAAGTAAGTTGTGATTTCATTTATTTTATGTACATGGAAATTATAAAGTGCTTTCTCAAAGTAAATTCAAATTAAACTCATTTTGAATCACATTTTATTGTTCATTCTCGGAAAAACCAAGATCCTGTTGCATTAAATTAAAGTTACCATTTATTCAGTAATTATCTCCTCAATGAATGCTATCCACCATGGTAACATTATGGACTTCACGATAGCATGTTGTTTTGTGAATGTTGACATGACATGGGCGGAGCGAGGGACTGCACAACGGCTCAGCTGTCGACTTCCCTAGAGGGCAACATGGATTTCCCTAAATGGTGTCATTCTCGAGGGTAGTAGATGGCTGAGCTGTTTTCATGCATCGCAGCATCTCACTCCACCTGAGTGACATTATTAAATATAAATCTTCTTCCACAAGAACGAATAAGTGAATTCATAAAATAAAAATCTTCATTATGTTTCCATTATTGGTATATAAACAGTGTTCCTAGGTTGTAATCTAACCAAAGCATAGTGAAAATACAGGAAAATTATTTTTATTTGAACTAATATTATTAATCTTGCTCCTTAACTTATGAATGTCAACCGTTTGTCAAGTTAACTTTTGAAGTTGCAAGATGATCAATTAACGTTTTAATGATATATTAAGTCAGTTTTTCTTTGACTCTTATCTTATTTTCAGATTAAGCATTGTGATTTTATCACCATGAGGGATGAAGTAGAAAATTCAGCCTGTACATCACATCAATCGTTCTTGCTGCTGGGGTGAAGGATAAGTTGGCTCCTTGGCCCCATTTATGTACTATGAAATGTAATGCCCTTGTAGCTATCATTACGGAACGTAATACCGATATCTAAATGACAGTGGTTGCAGAAAAAAATATGTTAGAAAATTGAAAAACCCAAAAGACACGTAAAAAAGAAAGAATTATTTTATTTCTGTTCCATTATGACCGTTGTGTTGATAAATTGTTAAGAGATTGTGAATGTGAATTAGAATAATAAAATGCTGCATTTTCTGAAGAATGCACTTCACTTCCACCTACTATACCTTTATGCATGAAACATAGATTTGAATTGGCACATTTTGAGCAATCTAGAAGTTATCGTTCCTGTCCTGTTTGTGAAGCATTACTGACTTCTGATGACAAAACATATACCTGTATAAAGATATTCCTGAAAGTGAATTGAAAAAATGGGGTGATATAAATGAAGAATTTTCCTAACACAAGGTCACCATATATGTAGACCATGCTACATGTATTGTATATAGAAAAGTAGTGCTAATAAAATGTCACTTAGAAGTATGGAAAATTCGCATCAGAGCCGTGTGCTTGCATCAGATTCGGACGAAGACTTTTTACTCAAAGTTCTAAATGTTTATTTGTATATATGTAGACTGTGTCTTGAGGATGGTTATTTTTATTCATAACTGTTTATGAATATTGTTCTGATCTTGTCTCAAAAAGATGTGATGCGCTACAGTATGACCGTGTAAATAAAAGTCCATTATTTGTAAAGGATAAGATTATACACCAGTTCGGTGAGCTTTTGATTGTACATAGAGATGCTGGTAGGAGGGGAACATCTTTTTACAGTGCAGAGATGTCTCATGATTATGTTATACGTTCATGGCATATTTCAGTTTCTAAATTGAGATCATTACAAATTGACAAGAATAGTGCCCAAGATGTGCCCGATAAACGATCCTTTTCCTCACAGGTTAGTTCACCTTCAGAGGTGAACATGCAGTTCCGAAATATTGTCAATAACGGAAATGAATTTCTCTGTAAACAGGCGAAACACTTTAGTTGGAATATTTAACTAATCCTTTATCTGTCACTGATTTTAACTTTGACAATGTATGTTGCTACTACCGGTAGTGATCATGTTCACCTTGCAGCCTGTGTTCTTTCAGCATTTCTTTCATTTGCTAAATATAGAAAACCACTTACCAGTATGTATTCATCACATGTATGAATGCAAACCAGTGTTATGCACAATACTCTTTATCTGATTTAATGCTCCATTTTGTTTGTATTACATATTATATTCTTTGTTGTTATAATAGTTTATGTTGCACACTTACCGTATTCCTTGTACAGTCTTCTAATATATATTATGGCAGAATGTAGCATGTACATACATGAGCAACTTAAGTTATTCGTGTTATAACATTATTCATTGTAACTTAGGATTTTTGTATTTTCCGTGCTTTAGTGCCTTAAACTAGCCAGTACTGTGTGTGTGTCCCAGCTGGACTAGCTTATGCATAATAATATCTGCCAAAACATGTATTTTTTTAACCTTGCCAAGTTGTCTCTTGTATTCGAAGAGAAATAAAAAATAAAAACAATTGTTCAAAAGAAACATCCCGTTTGTGTATATGCGTGAACTGTATGACTGATCAGAGGACTGTGTTTCTTTATTGAAGGCGTTACTTTGTTAACGGGAATGTCAACCTCAACCCTTTGCAGGACCAAATTCATGAGTGACTTCAGTTCGCCTTGTAAACAGAACGACTTGAATATTGCTTTGCCCTCCGAATTTCAAAGGTTTGAAGGGAAAATTGCCCCCGTGTATTTTTAACTTATTTATTTGTGTGTAGTGTCAATCACTGCATTGGACACCGACATGTTCACATATCATTTCTTGGGAAGAAAAAAAACAACAATTAAGCAGGTCGAGAGATATTGGACTTTATATTCCTGGCGTATATAGTCTATAGTATAAAGTGCAATATTATGTTTTGCAACTTTGTACTAGCAACTGTGAACTTCACCATACCACTAATAACCGTGAATAATAATGGGATTTTTTTTTTTTCTTCAGGTGATAAATTCGATGACACTTGCATTTTGCTCAAAATCGCCTACCCACACAGCTGAACTCGCTGATTCAGACATCGATGAAGTCGTATAATTTCGTTACACAAATTTGTATGGGTGGGCGCATACTATTCTTCAAATTGAAATATCTTGAAACGAACACTAAATTTTCCAAAATCAAACGTATCACTGCCCATAGTTAATCTTAGTAATCGATAAATACCAAGATAATTACATGAAATAGGGTTAAAATGTTGAAATAACGCCATTATTCGTGCCTAGAAAACAAACCGCGAAGTCACAAGTTCGTTCACCTTTGACGAATGGTCGTTCGGTAGGTGATCGGAAATCTTCGTATTCATGTATCTTCTTAATGTGGAACTATTTTTTAAAACCGTGAACTTGACCCGTTCGAATCATCAAATAACCTGATTTTCACACCATACAAAGAATGATGTCTAAACTTTCCAAAAATATAAAGATTAATGAGGTTCCTACTCGTTTTATACGTTTTTTATGCATTCACTTTCATCATAAACTCGATGAAAATACGGAGAAAGTAAGCTTGTACTTGACAAGAAATATTTCATAAAGTAATGGAGTCCAGTTTATTTCTAATTCAGCTTAATGAAAGAGCAGTTTCTTGTCTTCAATTTAACATATCGTTCATGCTAAATGATTAACAAGAAACCATTTTGTGTAGGTGGAAACAAGCCGGTGTTTTCAAGCTCGTGTGCTCATTACGTATTCATATTGACCGCTGGGCTTGCATACGACTACGATAAATACGGGCGGTTTTCGTGCAGCGGCGTACTGACTGTATGAATGATGAATTTGTAGAATTTCTATAACATACGAAAACATAAGTATAAACAACATGAAAAAGTATGAACCGACAGAAGAATAAAAATTTCAATCATATAACATATCATTCACTTCTCTTCTCTGACTGTCAAGTATTAGGTATTCCTTTAATTTCCTCTTAAAATGATCATAGTTTCCTATTTCTTTTACACCATTGGGAAGGGAATTCCAATGTTTTATGGCATTGTAATAAAACGAATTTCCAATACTTCCTACTCTTTCTGGTAAGTTAAAGTTGAATCGGCTATTTCTTGTATTATAATCATGTACGTCAGTAACAACATCGAAGTTGGATCGAATATAATGATTCGACCTATATAGTATGATATATTTTATGCACGTGATGCAATACGAGTTGTTTTAATCTTTGGTCGACTTCAAGAAAACCAGCTTTAGAAAGTTCGCTGTAGCCAAAATGAGTTCTTGGACCAGAACAGTTGATAAATCTCACCATTTTGTTCTGTATAATCTTCAACTTCTTTTGATCTGACTTGTTTATGTTACTATACCATGCAGGGTTAGCATAGTCAAATAAACATTGAATAAGAGAAAAACAGAGTGTACGTCTTGCTTTTAAATCCATACAACTTTGATATCTGTACAAAAATTTCAGACGAGAATTTGCTTTTTTTACAAGTGATTCTACTAAAGATGAAAATGAAATTGCGCTAGCCAACTCAATGCCTAAATACTTCACAGACTCTTTTCTCTTGATTGCTTGATTATTGTGTGTCACTTTGAATTCAAATGACTTTTTAGAACTACTTTTAGAACAAAATAAAATGCTTTCTGTTTTTCCCAAGTGTAAAGAAAGCTTATTATCAGTCATCCAATCGACACACATAGACAGCTGTTCACTGAGCTTTTCCTCAATAAATTTAGGATCAGGATTTGAATAGAGTAGTACGCTGTCATCTGCGTACAATAATAGTTTGAAGTCTTTTATACAAATACACATATCATTTATATAACTTGAAAATAGAATTGGGCCTAAAATGCTTCCCTGAGGAACACCGCATGTTATAGGCATTAGTTTGGAACGAATATCATGAATGGCCACTACTTGGTGCCGATTAGATAAGTAGGATCTGAACCAATCTAAACTTGCCTTATCAAAACCCATTAGTTGTAACTTCTTCAATAAGACGCAATGATTAACTGTATCAAAAGCTTTTTGCAGATCAAGGAGCACCATACCAACAAAGCGCCCTTGGGAAGTTTCTCTCCTCAAATAATCAGTCAAATGAATTAGACATGTTTCAGTCGAATAATCATGTCGAAAACCAGATTGAAATTCATAAATTATATCATTTTCTTTGAAGTATCTTTCAATTTGAACACAGACCGATTTTTCTAGAATCTTTGATGCTACGCTTAAAACACTAATAGGTCTATAGTTGCTAACATCAGTTGTATCTTTCTTTTTATAAAGTGGAGTCACTTTTGCTATTTTCATATCCTCTGGAAAAGTACTCGTCAAGATAGATAGGTTCATTAAGTAACTTAGAGGCTTAAATAAAACCTTCGCACCATCTTTTAGAAATTTAGCTGGAATCAAGTCTTACCCAGTACTTTTTGATACATTCAACTTACGTAACTCTTTGAAAACAAATTGTTCACTGATTGGTAATAACTCGAAGCTGTTTTCACGTACACCTTTTCTTTCGTAAAAGTCACGAATACAATCATTGTCTGCGCTGAAAAAGTCTTTGGAAGGGGGGAGTTTGTCTACTAATTTGGCAGCCACATTTGTGAAATGAGAATTGAATTCATCAGCGATGGCCAACTTATCATGACATAATTCCCCATCAATTTTAATGACAGATTCTTGTACTTTTCGCTTCTTATTTTTCAATCCTAAGCTTTTTAGATTCTGCCAAAGTTTTTTCGAATCTTGTTTATTTTCTTCTATCTTGTTTCGTAAGTAATCGAGTTAAGCCTTTTTCACCTCTCTTTGGACCATATTTCTTAATACTTTGTATCTTTTATAGAGCTTCTCATCTTTTGCTCTTTTCCTGCGTTTTTTGTATACTATATTTCTCTCTTGAATTAGGGAAAGAATATCTTTAGTCACCCAAGTTTCTGATCTTTGTTTTATTCTTATCCGTTTCAGTGGCGCTATCATATTCAAATTTGAGATAACTACATGTTGA